AAAGTAGATGATAGCTGTTACATTCGTCTGATCTGTGTGTCCTGACATAGAAGAAAGTTAAAGTGATGTGATAGTTTGATCTTCGTATGACCTTAAAGTTGCTTTTCAAGGAGATTATGGAGTTAATGATGTGTTTGCATGTCTTGTCAAGTGGATAAATGACTGTAATTTCCAAGGACAGCCCTCCTTTTTCTCTAGTTTGCTATTTTCCAAGCCTGAGGAAGAGGCACCTATATTTATTGGCCTTTCAGAAATTCAGGCTACATGTTCTACAGTTCTGCCTGCCAACCTTGTACTTTGTTTTCCAGGACATTATCAGACTGTGCCATGGTAGGATACGAGCAGGACCACAAGGTCAGTTTGAGCCACATGGTAGGTGGTTCAAACTCACCAGCCACTCCTTGGAAACCCTATGTTGGGTCACTTGAGTCGGAACCAACTCAATGACACTTAACAACAACAACAAGCAACAAAACTGAGATTTCCAAAATAAATAATTTTTTTACAAAAATGGATTTCATTATATAGTAAGTGCAGTGGTTCCATATGATAAGCACTGGACTGCAAACCACAAAGTGTGCAGTTCAAGCCAGCCAGCTGCTCCGAGGGAGAAAGATGAAGCTTTCTAATCTTGCAAAGATTTAAAAAGTCTGGAAACCAATACAGGGTTGCTGTGAATTGGGACCAACTTGATAGCACTTAACAACAAAAAGCTTCCCTGGCACATTAAAAGTTTGAAATAGTTTAGTGAAATGAAATTTAAGGATTATCTCATCCCTCATTTAGGTCTTTCATCACAACTAGAACATGCTTTTCTAAAAAGGGAAGACAATTGAAATTGTCCATCTTTTCCAGTTTTATTACTTTTCCTTCTATTTCTTGGCATTAACACGATTTTCCCTGGACTTGCCTAATAAACACATACATAGAGTTTAATTTGTATTTTGTGGTTTTTGCTAAAAGACCCCCAGGAGATCTTTTAGCCATAGTATATTGTTGTTGTTAAGTACCGTCGAGTTGGTTCCTACTCATAGTGACCTTGTATAGGGTTTCTGAGGAGCATCTGGTGAGCTTGAACCACTGACCCTGTGGTCCAAACCAACCTTGCAGTCTAGTGCATTAACCCACAGTGCCACTCACACTAGTGTAGTGAATGAGATACATGCACATGTATGTTTAATCTCTCCATGTCCCCCTGCAGCTTGTCTCTCTGTCTTTTCTCACTCTGTTTCTTTGTATCTCACATAAGTATTCCACAGTGAGCTAATATTTCTAATATTAAATTTAAGCACTACCTCAGTGCAGTCCTTTGTTACCTCGTGATGAATTTGATAAAATCTTTAATCAGCAGCTCTAGCCATCATTTGTCATTCATTCATTCCAGCAAATTCTTACTAGCCTGCTACTGCTGCTAACCTAAGGAGCTCTGGTAGCATAGTGGTTACAAATTGGGCTGCGAACCGCAAGGTCAGCAGTTCGAAACTACCAGCTATTCCGCGGGAGAAAGATGAGGCTTTCTGCTCCCATAAAGATTTACAGCCTCGGAAACTCTGTACAGGGTCACTATGAGTCAGAACCAACTCCACGGCACGTAACAACAACAACTTCTGCTAACATAAGTAAGTATCCCTAAAGCTTATTCTTAACCTTCATGCTGATCAATTCTTTGTCCATACCAACAGTCTTCTATTATCCCCTCCCCATCATCATTATACCAGGGAGCCAGTCTCCCTTTCCCCCCTTTGCCCAGGAGTAAGACTTAACTACACTAGGGCTGGCTGATGTTTTAATTACTAGTCACTGATGACCCATGTGATGATCCATTTCTAGCTACCAGTGGAATTGGAAATCTGAGTTGTGTTTTTGTGTTTACCCAAGACCCCATCAGCAATCTTAGCCTTGCCTCTACAGATAACCTACAGTGTAGGGCACAGGAAGGGACAGCCACATTATTTAGGGGTTTACATCAACACAGGAGTTATAGTATTGGAATTGCTAACCTTAACCTCCATACATCAGTATCCTTTTCTCTAAAGGAGATTAAATAGCAGTATCTACTCATAGAGTTTTGGGGAAGGTTTAAAATAAGCTAGTATGTATAAAGCTGTTAGCATTGGATTATGGGAACTGTTTCTTGAGTTGCATCACTTTTGTGACACATATGGAATCGGGAGAGGGGATGCTTCGTAGTGGTTGTAATTTATGAGTTAAGTCTTGGAGAATAAGGAGTTAGCCTCTCAGTAGATAGAGAAGGGAGAAAGACTCCTTGCAGCAGTGTGGCTAGGAGATGCATGAGAGCAGGACATATTTGTGAAAGTTGCACATAGATTACTCTGACGATAGGGTGCAATAAAAGGGTGGAGGTGGAAGGAAAGATAACCAAGAAGAAATCACAAAGAACCTTGTAGAGCTCAGCTGAAACTTGATACTGCATCATCCTATATCTACATCATCTGGTTTCTTTGTTATGCGATCACATAGTGTCTCTATGAACTGACCTAAACGAACTGGCATTTCTCCTAAAAAATAACTACATTAATTAAGGATGTACTCTGCAAGATGCATTTTTGCTTTACTTGTGTTCCTTATTGGCCATCTCATTCATTAATCTGATTTCTAACTCCAAACTCTTGCATCCTGTACCCACCCTCCCTTTTTTTTCTGCATTTTCTTTTAAATAGGAGTTTTTAAAAAGGAGTTATGTTGGTACAGTGGTTGAAGTGCTTGACTGATAATCAAAAGGTCAGCAGTTGGAACTTGCCAGGCACTCAGAGGGAGAGAGATGTGGCTGGCTGTTCCTGCAAAGATTTACAACCTTGGAAACTCTATGGAGCAGTTCTATTCTGTCCTATAGGGTCAGTATAAGTCGGAATCAACTTGACGGCAGTGACTTTCGTTTGGTTTTTAATATATTATACTGTTCCCCTTGGGACGTAAACTCCAGGACCCGTCCCTGGCCTGCTCATGTTTGTTTTCATTGCCCCTTGTGCCTGCCTCTGCTATAACATTTGTAGTATGTGTTAAGTAATCCTTAAGGTAACATTTTTATTATGTCATAAAAAGTGCATGGCAAATATATTATAACTCATGGACTTTGTTTAAAAATGAACGGATAATTTATTGAGTGTGTTACATGAGCCTTGCTCCCTCCCATTTCAGCTGAGACCTGCTGCTCATTTAGCCTAGCCTCCTATTGAGTGCTCCCACCCTGTGACAAGCCGAGAAAACAGACCCAGGGTTGGCTAGAAATGACGTCATAGTTTATGTACTCAATAAAAATTTAATTAAGTCATTACAGGAATTGCAGTCATCATTTAACCCTGTGATTTCTCTGTTTAGTTCTTTATTAAACATTCAGTAATACCAGTCACCAAATCTTGATGGCTTATAAAATATCTGCATGAATTTTAATAGCTTAAAGTAATGGGAAAATATGAGTAACTGATATGAAAGGGACCTTTTCCTTGTGGTGGTACTGTGTATATGGGTTTTTATAAAAAGCAAAGCATTATGGAAAGGAAAAGAATTGAGTAAGAGAACAACCCAACAGTCTAAGAGGAGTTTCTCATCTGGTATCTGGATCATGGGCAGGGTGCTCCATACAGAATGACCTGGCAGTGAGAACCTGCACATCTAACCAACAAAAGCTTAAGTGAGGGAGTAAAATCCTAACAAGGGTTCTCCAAGGGAAATCTCCTCCTCCCCTGCCTGCTGGGCCAGCCAGAAGGGCCCAAAGGGCTGAGTTCAGTGGTTCAGGAAGTGTTCTTCACCTGTTGCCTCAGATCATGTGTCTGCATGTTTGCATTGATGGAGTTTCCACCCTCTTCCAGGAAGAGCCCATTTCATGATCTAATCCAGCCTGAGTGATGATATCTGAAAAACATTCCTAGCTATGGCAGCTTGTCATCTAAATGTTGACAAAGCTAAAGGTGAAAGGGAGGCAGTTTACAGGTCACTGGAGTTCAAATATAGTACCAGAAGATAGAGGGCCCTTGCAAATAAGGAACTCTACTCCTTCACTCTGTTCTTCCGGGGCAATAGCCAGTCAAAACACAGGGACATCCCATTTGGATGTAGGTAGGTACATGGGCTTTCCTGGAAAACAAGAAACAGATTTGTAGGTTATGTTGATGATCTTCCGAAATCCCCTGCAGATGGTGAAGTAGAAAAAACCCTGGTCTAGAAATCTTGTCCTAATCCTGCCATCTGGCTCTCACAATAACTTTTATGGCCGTGGACATATTTCTTTCTCTTTCTTGGTCTCAGTTTACCATTTCCTCAAGGGGACAGAGGCTGTCTCTGAGGGCCCTTCCAGCTCTTAATACCTAATGGCTAGATGCAGCGCACAAATTAGCTCTGCTGTATAGGGCCAATGAAGGTTTGCCTCCCAGAGATGCTCCTGCCTCAGTGTTTGACACCTCTGGCATTTATTAATGGTTCTAGTTCTTACATAATTAGAAGAGCAACTAGTAGGGGGTAGTGAGAGACCCTAAGTGGGTATCAGGAGGTCTGGGTCGTAGCGCCATCCTCACATTCCGGAGGAATTGGCTCTATCTCTGGCCTCCTCACCCCCGCCCATTCTGGAAGATGGTGCAATAGAAGTTTGACAGTATCTATGAAGTTTCAGAAACATGGAAGGTGACAAATAGCAAAACCCCGTGTATCACTGGATTGAAGGTGTTATATGGTGGTCGGGCCCTCATCAGGATTCAGTCATCAGTGTGCCCTTGCTTTGGGCTATGGCTTCTGCTGGGTGTTGGAGGACACAGAGTTGAGAGGCACTTTATTAAACTTAATGACTACTTTGTATAATTTGGGATCAAACCTAAAAGAAGCTGGCAAATTGGTGTGAATCCTAATGGATAATGGAATAGGGAATAGGCTGGCAGTTAGACTTGATAAGGTCCACTCTGAGTAATTTGTTCCATTAAGAGTCTGTGATAATCAGCTTTTTGGTTGTTACCTCTTTCATTCTTGTTTTTGCCGTTTTGTTTCTGTAGGTTAACCCTTATGTCCTGAAGAAGAACATGGTCCTCATGACAAATAGTTTCTATGCTGCGATCTTGGGGTATGATGAGGTAAGATCATTTGACAAAACATAGGCAGAATCATGGCCTCACCCCAACAAGGGCTTCTGATGAGAGCCCTAGGGGTCATTGTAACTGCCTGCCATTACTTTGTATTAATTTCCTTATTATCTTCACTGAGTGAGCTACTAAAATGAATGTGAAACAGTTTGTTTTATGTTTAGGAAAGAAAGCATGACATAATATAGTCCAATCACTAGTCAGCAGGTGCTAGATGGGGCACAAAGGCTTAATCAGTGCCAGTGCCAGCCCCAGATGTGCCCAAAGAGAGGAAGACATACACGTAAGCACCACAGTTTGCCAAACTACACAATTTTTTTGGGTTGCTTTAATTATAAAAGCTATGCATACTCGTTTATAAGTTTCATAAAACGGACTTAAGTGACTGAAATAGAAAAATTGAAGGCCATTCCCCTTTTCCTGCCCAGGAAGAAAATTCCATTTAGAGTTTATTGGATATCCTTCCAGATATTATCTGTGCATAGATAAGCACCTATATACATATGAATGTTTTATTTTCTTTATACAAATGGGAGTTACTCTGTACACAATAATTTGCAGTTTATTTTTTTTTACCTAACAATATATCTTATAATCCTTCCACATCAGAACTTTTTATATCTTAGTTCTTTTCTTCATCTATTATGAACATTTTCAACTGTATATCAAAATTAAAAGAATGGTGTAATGAACTCCTATATACCCACCACCAAGATTCATTCTGCCTCATCTTTTAATAAACCGTGTCCTTTTATATTCATTTTGTGGTGAGCTCCAGACTTAATGCAAGTGTCATCTCTCCTGGAAAACATCCCAGAACTTCCGCAGTACAGTTTATTCTGCCTTCCCTAGACCTGCAGCCTTTACTACCTTAGGATTAACTGCTTCCGCGCTGGACTGAGGATTTCTTTTGAGTGGTAGTTGTGTCTTTTGAGTTTGTATTTCTATTGCCTCATATAGTGCTTGGCACGTGGCAGGTGAAGAAGGAAGGGAGGCATTGCATGAAGAAACTTGAGTTCAGGCTGGAGGAAATGTTATCAGCCTGAAGGTAATAATTAAAACCAAGGGATAAGTTTGTGCTCCCTCCCCCCAATAAAGAAATTAACCAACTTGCCCAAGGTTATGGGACTAGTTGAAGATGGGGTCTCCTGATTATTGATCTAACAAATATTCCCAGCCCCCGTTATAAAAGACCAGTTTAGATTGCATACCACACATGCTATGAATTTAACATGAGCTTTTGGGGGGTGGGGTGGGAGTTGAGAAACACTATTTAAATGTACACATCCATCATTAAATTGGATGTGTTCTGACTTCCAAAACATTACAATACAGAAAAGAATGAGGTTTAGAATTGAAGAAATAGTCTTGCTATTAGCATTCATTTGAAGGTGGTGTGGCCCTCTGTTGATTCTTTTAACCGTGTTAAAAGATGTTCGGAATTTTGTCTGTTCTATCTGTCCCCCATTCCAGTACATTATGCCACAGCATCTCATCCAAACATAACTCCTCAAGAGTCACTCGGGATGCTTTTTAAATCTGATTCTTGAGCAACCCTCTGAAAATTCCAGTTCAATAGGAGCAGAGCCTGATATGTCCAACAAGTACCCCCAGGTGACTCTTAACAGAGTTTGGGAAATATGCTAATTAATATTTTTAAAAATGCCTTTGTCTGGCTGGGTCCTATCTCGCAGAGTTTGCTTTAATTGGTATAGGGGGGACAGCTGTACTTGTAAAAATTCTCCTTGATGATTTTAATGTGTAATTCTAGAACATTTCATTTTAACGTGCATGCACATCACTTGAAGATCTCGTTAAAGCGCAGGCTCTGATTCTGTAAGTGATGGGGATGCAGCCTTTCTGCAGACCACACCGTAAGTGACAAGACTAACCACATGTGGCTGTTTGGGACAGCGATATTCTACAGCAACATGACGCTAGAATCTTGTTTGGATGCTGCCTTCATCCTGGACAATTTTAGAAATTTCCTGTTTTCTACTACATTAGGTCCATGTTCCTTCAAGGAACCTTCTTCAGGCTTTCTCTGAACTGTTTTCATTGCCATTAGGATATGCTGCATCTCCCTTTATCTCCCACTGCCCTCTAATCTGTAGTCTTTTCTGCAAATGGGGCAGGCCATTTGCCTCACTGCCCCACAGAAATTCTGTGCCAATTGAGGATCTACTTGACAATGTGGTCGTTGTAAATTTTGTACCTAGCTCAGGGCCTGGCACTTGTAGACATTCCCGTAGAGAATAGTGGTATTGTCTCCTGTTAAGAGTGTGCTGTGACTCTTTGAATCTTTCCCATCCTTGAAGGCCCACTTCTTGCAAAGCTTTTCCTGACTTCTTTAGACCTCTTATGGTTTTTTAATCTTCATTTCACCATACACCTATTTAACAGATGTTTACTGAATGCACATGGTATTGTCAAATCAGTCTTTACGGAATGAGACCTTGCCGCTCTTTACCCTGAACCATAGCCAGAGCCCTCCTGGACCAGGACTATTCCTGTTGCTTCCTCTACCTAGTCCAGACTTGGTGGTGGTGGTGGTGGTGATGTGCCATGGAGTCAGTTCCAACTCATAGCACCCATGTATAGGGTTTCTGAGGCTGTAAATTGGGAGCAGAAAGCCTCATTGTTCTCCTGCGGAACAGCTGGTAGTTTTGAACTGCTGACTTTGAGGTTAGCAGCCTAACTCGTAACCTACCTGAGTTTCCTGAAAGATGCTTTCCTTTGTATCTTGAGGAAAAACAGGTGGATATTCTACTAGATTCCAGAAAGAATGCTGTACAACTTCAGTGTTGGACTGTTTCCTTTCTTGCTGCCTTAGTTGCAATCAATATTCTCAGATCAGCCTCCCACTTGTTTTCACTGACTTACTATCAGCACAGTGGGAAGAAGTCTGAAGTAGTCATTTATTTCTTAGCAGTTTTTAATCATACTCCCACTCTGTGCCAGGTATTGCTTTCTGACTAGAGATTAAGTCAAATACCATCCCTTGACCTCCCCGGTGCATTCTGGTCCTAGCTCTGTTACCTGCTAGCTGGATGACTTCTAAGTCTCAGTTTACTTAGCTTTATAATGGGGTTAATAATACTTACTGAGCTTGAAGTAAAAAGTCATTATGAGGCAGGTGTCTGAAGGAACTCTGACAGGCTAGAGCTTAAGCCTGTTCATCTGAGTCCCGGATTACCCTTCTCCTGCTGTGTGCTCAGGAATTTCTGACTATGGATTTGCCCCTTCCCAGCCATCTCACCCACCCCTGAAACTCTCTATTTGCAACAGGCCACAACTCCCAGGCTTTGCTTCCTTGGGCCCTGCCTTCATTCTCCCAAGTTCCTGTGCCACCCGCTTCTCCTCCCATCCCTTCACATGTAACACATGTGGGTTGCTGCCAGCAACACTCCAGCATGTGCCCAGACCACTTCAGACACAGGCAAGCTGTTGTGTTAGCAAATAGCTTGGAGAATGGTGATGTGCCTGAGCTTGCCCTTCTTGGCACCTGTCCCCATTTGCCGGAAGAAGCTGGTTTTCCTGACTCAGCCATTGCGCCAGGACAGTCTCTTAAGCCATGGGGCCATAAGGGTGTTTATCAGTGGCATTTGGAGCAGGTGGAATACTTTTCCACCAAACTGTCAGCACCCCAAACTGAACAGGGCACTTCCTGGCAGGCAGCAGGCCTGGAGCTAGACTTCATGTACCATGATTCCCCAGAGGCTAATCCACAATGTTACATCAAATAAGTAGTGATCCTGGGTTCTTGTGTAATGATTTACTGTTTGCAGAGCCCTTTTATGGTCATTATCTCTGAGTTCTCACAACAGCGCTGTGAAATATAATCTGAGGTTAACAGAGGACTAATGGCCTTTTAGAGTCTACACAACCATTAAATGTCATAGCTGGTATTTGAACTCAGGCAGTCTGACTACCAGATTCCATTGTTCTTTCAGCTACATCCACAACTGCCTTCCCAAGTATGATCCTAATCTTTGTATCCAGCATTATTAATGCCTAACAAAATGTCCTTACATTATCTTTTTATAATTCAAGAATGCTATAAATAGAACAAATATTTTCATCTTTTTTAGTAGGTGAGAAGATTGAGACTTGGGCTTAGTGAATTGCCTTCCGTGACTGAGCTTGGAAAATGGTGGAGCTAGGACATGATCTGGCTTTCTGACTCCAAGTCAGCACTGTTTCTGGTTCTGTGAATTACCTTAGCCCCTTGGACAGATTTCATTTCTTAGGGTCTTTTCTTTTTTTTCATCTTTCCTTAGAAAACTAGACTTTCTCCCCTCCCCGTACCAGAGGCTTGAAGTAGAAAATGACTCTAGCATGTAGTCCTAGGCTTCAGTTAGCTTTTGCTTAATGGTTGGGCTTCCCAACAGAGGTCTCTTGTGCTGGGAGAGATGGTGTTAGACACACACACACTCACACAGACTCTGGACATTACCTTCTGTGGTGCATGGCAGTCCTACTGAATAGCTTGTTCCTCTGCTTGAAGGGAAGAAGGAAAAGGAACTAAGGCTGGGCCAGCCATGGCTAACCCTGGCAACAGTAAGGCCAAGGTATCTGGCTCCCTTCCCCATAGAACCAGCTGCCTTGCAGATGTTTGCCCTTGGAATAAAAGAGGAGGCTTAGTCCATGCCCATCTCAATTACTAGGGAGAAAATACGAACACAAATACTCCCTAGCCAATGCTTCGTTGACAGCATTAGAACCACTGCTGCTACCATTTCTCTTCTTGGCCACTTAAGCATTGCCTGAGCCACATGCAGTGTGTGGCAGAGTAAAGGGATCCTTGTGCTGGGAAGGTTGACCATACATGGGCCCCAGCCATGCATCAATCTCAGCAAGTCACTCTCTGGTACCCCTGGTCTTGCTCTGCATAAAAAGCTGGAAGATCCCTTCGAGCTCTACTATTTTGTGTAATAGTAGATACTTTCCATCTCACAATATCTGAAAGGTCCTGAGCCAACTCTGTGGTGTGCTAACCTATTTACAACAGCTCCAACTTTTCTATCATGTGTCTGTGAGGCTCCTGGGAAGAAAAGTTATACTCTGTATTCCAGGGGATCCTTTCAGATGATCATGGCCTGGCTGCTGCCCTATGGAGAACTTTCTTCAACCAAAAATGTGAAGACCCGCGACATCTTGAACTTCTGGTGGAATATGTGAGGAAGCAGGTGAGCAGCCCTTTTCTCCCAGACTCTCAAGGAAAGTGGGTTGTCCCTCTGTCTATGGATGCTGGGCTTTTGTAGGATCATGGGGGGCTGAGTTACCAGAGGCCATTCTAAGGGAATTGTGATCAAATCAGCAGCATACACACATGTGTGTCCAACCATGAACTTGGCCAAAGGAGTAGGAGAGTGGGCAAAGACACTGAGTAACCACTTACCATCATTAAGCATTTGATTGGCCCCTGTGAGTCAGGTATTGAACCAGACACTGCACACAGAGTCCTGTAAAATATAAGCCTGGGGGGTGGTGACATTCAGTGTAGCCCCCGTTTGTACCCACTTTGAGTCCCAGGGTTCACACTTTCTTATTTCTAGCAGGACTAGACTCCAAGCAGCATTCCACAGACATCCCTCATGTCTCTTCCCACTGGTTGCTGTTCATAATCAAGCAGGATCCCCTACTTCAGTATCCCATCCCTTTGCTTCCCCAGGGCTCCCAAAGCTTCTAGGAGAAAGCGCCGAGTAAGGACTGTTTAAATGTTTGGTTTTCCCTCAAGTCTATGGAGAATTAACTCCTTGATTACCCTGTCCCTAGATCCTGTATTGATGGAAAACCAATATTTCATAGATGAGTGAGCAGAGCACCAGGGAGGAGGGACATAGAAGCTTTGCCAGGGTCTCCCAATGAGTCAGCCAGCTCAGCTGGCCTAGAACCCTAGTTGCTCCAGACAGCTCATCAGCTCAGGCCATCCCATGAGTCACATCTGTGCTTCATGGGCCTGGCCTCTGGACCCAAAGAGACCTTATCCCACAGTTGTTCTCTTATTCACCTGTGTCCTTGGCCTTCAAACCTCCAACAGCCAGGAAAGGAAAGGCCAGGCCCCAACTCAACCCCTGAGAAGAAAGAAGATGTGACCATCGTGTTGACTGCTGGAAAAGCCATACAGTGGGCCTTTTCGGACCAAAGGGTAGAAAACCCCAGAACTTGATTTGGACATTCGTCAAATCTGCCAGAGGACAGGAAAAGGGTACCATGGCCAGAGAACACCACTTCACAGAAGACCTGAAACTTGCACTATTGACTAGATTCACCCACAGTCAAGGGAAGAAGTTGGCAAAGCAAATGCTGTTTTCTGAGAGACCATTCCCACTTTTCCATCTGCTATAGTGGGCTTGTGCAGGGGCCACATGACAAGGCCATAGCTGAGATCTCTAAAAGCCCTAAATGAAGGGACTACCACAGCCAGTGCTAACCCAATAACAAGCCATGTATGAGCTGTGGAAAAGCAGAAATGGGGCTTCTAAGAAAGGGAATTTTGATGACAACCCAGTATGCTAGGTACTCTGTTGGGAAGGCAGAAATTAAGACTGTCTTCTAGAACTAGCTCATGGCTTAGCTAGAAGACCATTCAGGCACAAGGCTAACACTCAAATAAGTCAGCCTGTGATACGGCAGGAATAAAGTACTGTGGAAGGCCAGAAAGAAGAAGACAAAGTCTGACCAAACAGAGTAAGAAAGAATGGGAAACTGGGCCAACAGAAGGGTCTGGTTCTCTGCCATGATATTTGGAGTGGTAGGTTCCTCAAGTCCAGCAGAGTTTATTTTGAGGTTTTTAGCCCAGGAGATGAGCAAAATGGTGGTTTTAGAGACAGAAATGGAGTAGAAAAGAGTGGTTGTTTTAGGGGCACTTCAGTGGGAGGTCCCTGCACTGAAGGGGATAGCAGAACATGTGACAATCTAGACCTGCGACTAGTATATATATGTGAGCTTAGGGTTGAAGTTTGAGAGTCCGCATCCTGAAGACAAAGCAACAGGAATGATTGTATTCCTGGAAAGAGGGAGACAGTACAAGACCTAGGATGAAGCCTTCAGCCGCCTCCTCTCTCTCTCTAAATGCCAGAAACAAACAATAAAAATGGAGCCCCATCTTTCTGAATCCAGTGTTGACTCCTGCTGATTCAGTTCTCACCACAGATTTTGCCTGTCCACTTAATAGCGTTTCTCACTCTGCTGCTCTGCTTACCGCCAGACACCCATTTCTCCTGAGACTTATCCACTTAGTAGATCAACTGTCTCTTTTTTAAATTGCTATAAAATTCTGGGAGGAAAAACCCTTTATTTAAACAAAAATATTTTTTTTAACATATCCTCCATCTAGGTCTATATGCTTTATTTCTGAAAAAAACTTTTTGTGAATTAGGTGACAGTTTTACAGAGCAGATAATGAGTTTTCCAACGGTTTAACACATTTTGTTGCACCTCACTTACTTCAATCCCCTCAGTGTGACATCACTTTTCCCACATCTTCCCTATGTTTCGTGTTTCAATTCCTCCTTCTTTCCTAACCCTTCTGAACTTTGTCCTTGGGTAAATGCTGCCCTGTTGATCTCCAATGCTTGATTATCCTAAGGTGTGTGTACCTACCTAGTGTAATTGTTCCCCTTATAGATCTTTCTGTTTGGCTGAAAATTGAGTCATGGGGTGAATTCAGTTCCAGACCTGAAGGGACATTGTTTCATGGTTCCACCAGTCTCTAACCCGGTCTTTGTGATTTTCAGTTTTGTTCCACATGTTCTACCACTCTATATAAGGACCTTCCAATGTGATCCCTTTCAGAGCAGCCGGTAGTGATAGCCAGGCACCATTTAGTTCTTCTGGTCTCAGGGTTATGGAAACTGATGTTCCCATGATCCATTAGTTTGCTAGACTAATTGTTTCCTTGTGTCTGTGATTTTCATCACTCCTCTTTCCTCAGGATAGAGAGAGACCAATAGTTGTACCTTAGATAGCCACAATCAACTGCTTCCTGAAAAACTGCCTAACCATACCTCCCCTTTTAGCTGCTACTTTTTCTCCCATCACAGATGTCCTCTCCCTCCAGGATAGCCCCTCCACCTAGATTCCATGGGAAAGTCTGAGAGCATCCAGTCTGGCCTTTGTCATGGTCTTCAGACAGGAACCAGAGTTCTGTGCGCTGAGGTTAAAGCACACCATCTCTATGCCAGACAGGCTGAAGGTATGGGTGGAAGAAAGCCCAGAGGAGCCAGGATCTCTGTCTCCAAATGAAAGAGCAGCTGAAGCAGGAGAGTACTGGAATTGGTCTCTGCAGTTAAAGAACAAGGATCAGTGGTGAAAGATGTGACTGTTTCAACATCAGAGCTGTGAAAGGCGACAAGTCTCCTGGCCATCCTAGAGGGTGGAGCTGGACCATGTGTCAGGGTCCACTGGAGGTCAGAAGTGTAGAGTGACTAGCACTGTACATATGAAATGTCATTTAATCTTTTCACAAGTCCTGTGAGGTACACATGGCTATCACTTCTCTGATGAAGGACCATCATCTCAGGGAGAAAAAGTGGCTAACTGATCAGACCACCAATAAGGGGCAGAGTTGGTGCTCGCCCTCAACTAGCAGCTTTGGATGAGGACGTTGTTGTTAGGTGCCTTTGAGTCAGTACCGACTCTTAGCGACGCTTATGCACAGCAGAACAAAACATTGCCCGATCCTGGGTCGACCTCACTATGGTTGCCACTCTTGAGTCCATCAATGCTGCTACTTGGCCAATCCATCTCGTTGGGGGTCTTCCTCTTTTTCTCTGACCCTCCACCTACCAAACATGATATCCTTCTCCAACGACTGGTCCCTCCTGACAATATGTCTGAAGTATGAGAGATGAAGCTTGGCCATCCTGGCCTCCAAGGAGAACTCTGTGTGCACTTCTTCCAACACACATCTGTTGGTTCTTTTGGCAGCCCATGGCACTTTCAATATTCTCCCCAACACCATAACTCAAAAGCATCAATTCTTCTATGATCTTCCTTATTTACTGAAAGGTCTTGTGCAGCAGATTTGCTTAATGCAATGTTGCTTGATCTCTTGACTGCTGCTTCCGTGAGTGTTGATAGTTGATCCAAGAAGAATGAAGTCCCTGACAACTTCAATCTTTTCTCCATTGATAAGAATATTGTTTATTGGTCCAGCGGTGAGGATTTTGTTTTCTGTACATTGAGATGTAATCCATACCGAAGGCTGTGCTCTTTGATCTTCATCAGCAAATGTTTTAAGTCCTCTTCACTTTCAGCAAGCAAGGTTATATCATCTGCATATCACAGGTTGTTAATGAGTCTTCCTTCAATCCTGATGCCACGTTTTTCTTCATAGAACCCAGCTTCTCACATTATTTGCTCAGCATACAGGTTGAATAAGTATGATGAAAGAATACAGCCCTGTCACACACCTTTCTTAATTTTAAACCATTCAGTGTTCCCATGTTCTGTTCGAACAACTGCCTCTTGGTCCAGGTACAGATTGCTCCTGAGCACAATTAAGTGTTCTGGAATACTCATACTTTGCAATATTGTCTATAGCTTGTCATGATCCACACAATCGAAAGCCTTTGCGTAGTCAATAAAGCACAGGTAAACAGCTCTCTGGTATTCTCTGCTTTCAGCCAAGATCCATCGGACATCAGCAATGATATCCCTCGTTCCATGGCCTCTTCTGAATCCAGCTTGAACCTCTGGAAGTTTTCTGTCAATGTATGCTTGCAGCCGTTTCTGTATTACCTTTAGTAAAGCTACTTGCATGGGATATCAAAGAGATTGTCTGATGATTTCCGCATTCCATTGGGTCACCTCTCTTTGGAATGGGCACAAATATGCATCTCTTCCAGTCAGTCAGCCAGATAATCGTCTTCCAAATTTCTTGGCAGAGATGAGTGAGTGCCTCCTGTGCCGCCTCACTTTCTTGAAAGATTTCAATTTTTATTCCATCAATTCCTGGTGCCTTGTTCTTTGTCAGTTCCTTCAATGCACCTTGAACTTCTTCCTTCAGTATCATTGGCTCCTGATCACATGCTACCTCTTGAAACAGTTGAACATCAACCATTTCCTTTTGGTAAAGTGACTGTGTATTCCTTCCATCTTCTCTTGATGCTTTCTGCATCATTCAATAATTTGCCCAGAGAATCTTTCAATAATGAAAGTCGAGGCTTGAATTTTTCCTTCAGTTCCCCCAGCTTGAGAAATGCTGAGCATGTCCTACATTTTGGTTTTCTGATTCCAGATCTTTGCACATTTTGTTGTAATATTTGGCTTTATCTTCTCGAGCTGATGAGGGTAGATAGGGTGATTTTTGTAAGTCTCAAGTCTTGCAGTAAGTAAGATTTACTGTAAGACTCCTGACCTATGAGAACTTTCTAAGAAGGGTGTATCAGGGAAGTAATGTCCTTGGAGTATATGTGTCTGTTTGCCTGATTTTTCGTCTGTCCAGAGTGGTGAGGGAGAATTCCCTGAAGCCTGCCCAGTGAGGTTCCCGTGGTTTTTGTTCTCCGAAGCACTTTCATGAAATGAATCTGGGAAATCAAAGACTCCCATAATTGGATGCTGGGATGGTCAGAAGCCCCTCTTCTTTTCCTTTGGGAGAGTGGTTCTTTATGCCACCTCATGTCTATCTGGTTTTGTTTTTTAGGAGAGGAATCATACAGTTTTATTGAGGACTTGTTACAGCTGAAGCTAGGGTATACTTGATAAAATACCAAGTGCTTCAAAGTCTGAAAAGAAAGGGATTTTGGGGCTGGGGAGTTACACAAGTCACTAGAAAACTTTCCACAATGTCAGTTAATCATGGATTTTTGGGGGTGCAAACTGCCATAAGTCATTTCTTGAGAACAACGTTTTCGTGAGGAGAGCATCCTTGTCGTCTTCTACCTGGAACATTCTTATTTAGCCATAAACCATTGTAACCTGGTCTATAAGCATTCTTCCTGAGAACAAAGCATTTTTTAATCACAGTCTTAAGTCATTGTGACTATATAGTTGTACATTCAAGGGGAATGCATACATTCTAAAACATAAGCAGAGATTTAGGGCAAAAAGGCACTTGATTTAAGACTGTGTCAGTCATGTAGTCATGCCAACCTCAGGTCTGTCTTGCCTGTGTCCTTTTATGCTGATCCCTGCTCTCCAATTTACAGATTCAATACCTGGACTCCATGAATGGCGAGGAGCTGCTTCTGACAGGGGAGGTGAGCTGGCGCCCTCTCGTGGAGAAGAATCCTCAAAGCGTCCTGAAACCCCATCCTCCAATTTATAATGATGAGGGACTTTGACCGAAGGCTGGTTCCTCCAAATGGCTGGTCAACCGGCTTGAGAAACCTCCAGGAGAGAGATGCTTGTTTTGCCCAGGACCCAGCCGAAAGGAGCTGACTGCTGAACTGACCTTTGAACAGCATCTTCAACTACCTGGCTCCATTTGTGTTGATTTTCCTTGTAGTGTGCCCTGGAATCTGATCTGCTAGGGTACAGTACTGAGAGAACCCCTAGATCTTCTGGGGTGTCCTCTCCAAGAAGTACTAAGCAAGAGATCTTCAGCACACACTCCCCAAATCCCCCTCCAACAACTATGTGTGATTGACAAAAAGGATGGGGGTAGGTTAAGAAGGGGACAACCCCACCAAAGGCCCCTTGTAGCCTACGAGCAGTGCGTAATGCTGCCGTGTTGCCTGGCAAGCACACTTCTCTCCTCTGGCTTTGAGCCATGGGGGCGAGTTGATCATTAAAAGAAACAGATCTTTGCCACGGCTCTTCTTTACTGTAGAGTCTGTTAGATATGAGATGGCAATCCCACAAACTGAGGCCTGCCACCCGGCTCAGAAACAGCGAGCGAGGGTCTGTGCTGCTGCTTCTGCCTCCGATTTATGAAGCTGTACCTCTGCCTTGGCCTAGATACATGCTATGAGGCCCTAGCCTTTGGGACCCAGAAGGGCATAAGGCCAACCTAAGTCTTTTGAAAGAGGCCTTAAAAACAAGCAAAAAACAAACACTTCCCTTCACTCACTTTGTAATCAAGAGATTAAAAGAATCCGTGTTCACTATGTCACACACACACACACACACCCCCCCCCCAGTGAAGTAGGTGAGAGCCAGGCTGCCCTTTCTCAGCCTCATATGAGCTAATGGGCAGAAGAAGAGAACCTCCTGTGTGCCTTCGTTTACTGTTCGTGGCCCCAGCCCCATGTCCAGCTTGGAGCATGTACTACAGAACCACCACAGTCTAAGCTCTGGGTGACCAGTCCCCTCCTCCCTCTGAGCCCAGGCCATCTCTGGAGGCATTTTCTTTAATTTGAAGGAGTTGGAGGGAGAGTCATATTGTTCACCCCTCCCCCAATCAAACTTTCATTTAACTTGCTATAAAATGAGTCATATAAAGAAACTCTATATGGCTGAGTTATATCCCAGTTCTGCGAAAACATTACAAATCAAACCGCCGTGTCTCGGTTTATTTAAGATGCTTTTGTTGCGAGTGGAGCTCTAGGGTGAAGCCTCCACTGTGCGTGTGAGATAATAGCACCTTGTAACTCATTACAGCTGGGCACTATTTACATAAACCAGAGCTGAGCCAGGCAGGAATTTGCTGATTAATTTATTTTTAATGGAGTGAAGTATACCATGCACCAAAATAAACTTTACTGTGTGTACCTAACTGCTCCTGGAATGGATGGAAAAATTAATGGAACAGATTTTGGCTCCCAACTTTACACATTAATTCATATATAAAAGTTATTTGAGCTTTAACCCATTTGCTGCCCAGGACACAGATCCCAGCCGTCAGCACCAGTTCAGCTACTGGGCCTGCTTTAGAATGTTGGACTTGTTGGACTCTCAGATGTGGAAGAACTTGAAGGTGATTTAGTCCAGTCTCTGTCCAGTACTTGGCTCCTCTCTCCACATGGCAGCTGGCCTGTGTTCATCTAGGCCGGGTAGGAATCCCTATAGCACCAGATAGCTCCTGTCTCCAGAGCCAAGTCCTTTCTCCACAGGAGGGCAGCAATCATCAGACCCTGCAACTCCTAATAAGGATCCAAATTTGGAAGAACCAGATTACATCTATCATGTCTGGCGTCCGAAGCCCTCACTTCCTGGCTGTCAACATTTTCACTGACTACCCCAATTTTCCTTCCCTTCAAGATAAAATCCAGACTCCACAGAGGCTACAAGGCTTTTCTTAGCCTCCCGCCTTCATTTCCAGCCCATTATGAGGCCCTAATCCATTTCTTCACTAAGCAAATGGAACCACTTGTGGTTACCTGCAGAGGCCCAAGTTTCCTCTTCCTGGAACTTTCTCCCCTTCTCTCTTCTGTTCAAGAAATCTCATGCTTCCTCTAATACCATTTCATGTCCACCCAGGCTCCTCAGGCATGCTGTTCATGGTGTTCCTGCAGTGAGTGTCACACTGAAATTTTCCGTCTACATGCCCACCTTCCATACCTGAGTTCCCTTAGAGTGGAGATGGTGTTGGGATGGGTTACCTTTGTTTTTCCAGCATGGAAATAGATTGCCTGACTCAGTTGTTAAGTGCCGTCAAGTTAGTTCCAACCTATAAGGACCCTGTATAGGGTTTCCAAGGAGCGACTGGTAAACTTGAACCACTGACCTTGTGGTTCAAACAGCTTTGCAGTCTGGCACATTAACCCATAATTCCACACCAGGACTCCTGATTCAAAATAGGCAGCAGTATAAAATGAAAGCAGGAACGAATGACTAAATCAACAATTATCAGTACATACCCAACAAGGAAACCCTTTTTTGGACCATTCTCTCTGACCTGCAGTTCAGTACTTTAGCAACTAAGTACTAAGTCCTTTCCTGTGGCTTTAGTACTGGAACAAAACCAAAAGTTCTTTGCTTAGCTAAACGCTTTTCTAATGTAAATTGTTATTAGACATAACAAGCCAAGGACAGGGTTTCTTGCCCTTAGGGAGACTGCTCTCTAGAACTGATTGTCATTTTTGTGCACTCTGCCTGTTCAGAAAGAATCAAAGGAAATTACAGTAACCGACAGTATAAAACTATTAAAGTCTGAAAGATAAGATGTAAATATTGGGAGGTACGGGGGAAAAAAATACTGAAAACTTAGCCAGCTAATAACCAATCTTCATAGGGAATTCTTTGGGTAGTATAACATTTTAAATTCATTTGTCACAACAGTTCTATAACAGGCATTATTATTCTTGTCAATTTTGTTAGCCCGTTTACATGAGCAAGGCCTAAAAAGAGAGTTGGCCAGGCTAAGAAGAAGATGAGAGTGTGCTCCGCCCCAGTCCTCTGGCTCCAGGAACCCTGCTCTCTTCTGTTCCACATTAGCTCGCTTGAGTCAGCCAGGAACACTCCTGCAATTGAATGCTAAGATCTTCCTCTGAGCTTCCTGGGAGCCTAAGGTAGAAAAAAAGAAAACCCTTAAGGTCATATAGTTCTCAGCACTAAAAGGAAGAATAGTAATTCATCCGAAGGACACACCTTTCTCTTTATTCTTCAGGATGTATTATAAGGAATTTTAAAAGAGAAACACTGACTAACATAGTGCATAGTACCCCTAAGATTTCAGTTATACCTAAGAAAAAAAGTAGTTGTTTTTTCTTACTTCAGGAAGTCTTTCTGCTCCCGATTTAAAGCTTTGGAAACCCTGTACAGGATTGCAATGAATCGGAACCAACTCAATAGCGCTTGGCATTTCTCATTCAAGCTGAGATTTAAAGCTAAATGTCACGTTCAGCCATATTTTTTTTTTTTTTAGTATCTTCTCTGGGACAGCAGACACAGCTTAGTATTACTTGTAATCTCTTTTGTCCCTCAGTGACAGTCCTATGAGGTCTGTATTATTAGCTCATGATCCAACTGAGGGAACAAGCCTGGGGAAGGTTCACACATACACGCAGAGGGTTGCTCTGACACCCTAAATCCAATGCTTCCAATTCTAAAAACACCATTCTAGATGGGGTGGGGCAGTTGTCTTATATCAAAAGTAGAAAGGCTGGTGAAACCCTTTAGACAACCTTCAAACCTGGACCTGAACCCATGCCCTGAGATCACTTTTCAGCCAAATAAGAGGGACTTACTGCCACCAAGAAAGAAGAGCCAGGAGTAGCATCCTTGCACCGGGAAGCTACTAGAACCAGAGAGGGATTGATGCGGGACGCATGGAGATCTCCAAGAAATGCTGGCCTTACAGATGCTCAACAAAGACAAAGACCTGAATTTGAACTTCTAATCTCCTAAATTATGAGAGAATAAACTTGTTTGTTAACGCCATTCACTTGTATTTCTGTTATAGCAGCACTAGAGAACTAAGGAGTCCTCATGGCACTGTAGGATAAGCAATGGACTACTAACCACAAAGTTGACAGTTCAAATCTACCAGTCACCCCTTGGGAGAAAGATGAGGCTCTCTGCTCCTGTTAATGATTTACAGCCTCAGAAACCTTATGGTGGTGGTAATTGTGATGTCCCTTGAAATTGGTTTCAACTCATTGTGACCCTGGGTAGGGTTTCTGAGGCTGTAAGTCTTTACAGGAGTAGAAAGTCTTTCTCCTGCTTAGCAGCTGGTAAATTCAAACTGCTGACAATGCACTTAACAGCCCAGTTAGAAATCCACTGTACTACTTACTAGAGCTCCTTCAGAAATCCTATACAAGGTCACTATGAGTTGGAATCAGTTTAATAGCAGTTAGTGTGTTTGGTTTTGCTTTGAGATAACTAAGACAATGACCCCCCCAGCAAAGCTAAACAGTCCCATGACTGAGCCCTACTCCCATGGCTTTTGGTGCACCTGGATTGTATCTGCTAGGGAGCCAACTTGGTGGAAGACAGGTTTTAGATGCTAGAGATGCCCCAGGGAGGGCAAAGACATAAGAGATGGCTAGGATTGGGGGTCTTTAGGTCTTTGGTCTTGTTTTGGGTATAGAAAGGATGTTTGTTGTCTCAGGTAATAATGTAGAGGGCAGATCCGAGCACTGGAATGGAAGTAGGAAGAGTGAGAACTAGCAGAGGTGGATATTGGAGCAGAAGTGAGTAGAGGAGAGCTTCCAGGAGGAGGATGTTCTTAATGTTACAGCGCTAAAGAGTAAGTCTGAAAGGCACAAGGATTTTGAACTATGCTAGGAGGAAGTTTTTTGGGGAGAGTACAAATTACAAAGGGTTAAGAAGTCAGGATATGGCAGAGGCTGTTGGTATCTTGGGAAGTGTCTAGCTAAGACAAAATGGAGAAAAAGGATTTAGGAGAGGAGGGTAAAAAATAAAGTGTTCAGCACAGGAAAAAGCTGAAGATGCATGT